GTGGGGGAACTTGCACAATCGGTGGCTGACTAAATACTTTTTTTGCCCCACTGTAAGACATGAAACAACCAACTATGACTACAAATTTCTTAGGAAAGTCTTTACGTAGGTTGTAAATTAAGTAAGAATTGGGTTTACTTAATGATGGACTTCAGTGCAGTCAGATAACCCCTTCAAATCAGGATTTTTTATTCCATAAAGAAACTATAGAAAACTGAAAAACGCAAAAAACACATGAAACCTGAAAAATAAGAAAGCATTTTACACATCATTAGACTGTAGAAAACTCAGAAGGCTTATACTGAAAATATGAGTAAGAATCAGTTGTTGACAGTGTTTTCAACTTGCTGGTATATTCTGGTAAAAAATCTTGAGATTTCCATAAAATAAGCTGAGAATGTAAATAGATTCATGCTTTTTCATTGATCTGATAAAATTCAACCTGCCTGAGCCATAAAATGAAAATGGGTATGGAAAAGAGTTGAAGAGGGCTTTTAGCAGACTTCACAATAACAATATGTAATTGGGTCAAACTTAACAGCGGATAAATGTTTCTCCCATTTCACTCAGTCAGTGTATATTACAGCGATTTTTAGGGAAGGTAACTGGCATGAAAAAAAGGGGGGGGGGAAGCGAAAGCTGTGGATAAAAATAAAGTTTACACTTACTCTGGACACTGTGTGACTTGACATCTCTCCAGTCCTGTGAGCCCACCTCCTTGTACTGGACCAGATAGTAGTTGATGGGAACGCCTCCATGAGAGTCTGGCTTCATAAATGTTACGGTCGCTAGGCGCTGGGAGACAGCTGACAGACGAACTGAGTATGGATTCGATGGCGCAACTGGAAACACAAAAAATAAAGGCATGACACAAACAAGCAGACAATTTCCATGTAGTTGTTTTCCTTTGCAATCGTGTTGTTTTGCTATGAAATAAGCCTTGTCTAATCCACTTGCATGGTGTCAGAAACAGAATCCTGTTTCACAAACTTAGGAATGAATTCAAAACAACCTTTTCCTTTGCCTTATGCACTGACTGTGTAGAGAAAGGAAAAGACTGAGTAAGGCTGAAAGCACCAGATATAACCTTTAATTTTTCAGTTGTCATGCATCAACATCATTCATCATGCAACTATTATTTAGGAGTAAATCAGCGAATACTTGATGAGGAATTATAACTACAAACATAGGTCTAAACACGATAAGATAAGATAAGATAACCTTTATTAGTCCCACACGTGGGAAATTTGTTTTGTCACAGCAGGAAGTGGACAGTGCAAAAGTTATATAGCAAAAATTAGAATACAATAAGAATAAAATACTTTACACAACTGTACAGAATAGAATAAAATAAAATACTATATACAGTAGAATAAATAGAATAA